TCACAGCTGTAAGATTTAACTCCACTGTGGATGACTTGGTGTTTTTTTAAGCCTTCAGCCCAGGTAAAAGACTTTCCACACAACTCACAGCTGTACATTTTAACTCCACTGTGGATGAGTTGGTGTTTTTTTAAGTCTCCAGCCCAGGCAAAAGACTTTCCACACAAGTCACAGCTGTAAGATTTAAGTCCACTGTGGATGACTTGGTGTTTTTTTAAGCCTTCAGCCTGGGTAAAAGACTTTCCACACATGTCACAGCTGTAAGGTTTAACTCCACTGTGGAGGAGTTGGTGTTTTTTTAAGCTTCCAGCCTGGGTAAACAACTTTCCACACAAGTCGCAGCTGTAAGGTTTAAATCCACTGTGGATGATTCTGTGGTTTTTTAAGTTTCCAGCCAGGGTAAAAGATTTTCCACACAAGTCGCAGCTGTAAGGTTTAAATCCACTGTGGACGATTCTGTGGTTTTTTAAGTTTCCAGCCTGGGCAAAAGACTTTCCACACAACTCACAGCTGTAAGGTTTAACTCCACTGTGGAGGAGTTGGTGTTTCTTTAAGTCCCCAGCCCGGGTAAAAGACTTTCCACAAAACTCACAGCTGTACGCTTTAACTCCACTGTGGATGAGTTGGTGTATTTTTAAGTTTTGAGACAGGGCAAAAGACTTTCCACACAACTCACAACTGTATGCTTTAACTCCACTGTGGATGAGTTGGTGTCTTTCTAAGGATCCAGCCTGGGTAAAAGACTTTCCACACAAGACACAGTTGTATGCTTTAACTCCACTGTGGATGAGTTTGTGTTCTTTTAAGTCTCCAGCCTGGGTAAAAGACTTTCCACAAAACTCAGAGCTGTACGCTTTAACTCCACTGTGGATGAGTTGGTGTCTTTTTAAGTTTTGAGCCAGGGTAAAAGACTTTCCACACAAGTCACAGCTGTATGCTTTAACTCCACTGTGGATGAGTTGGTGTGTTTTTAAGGATCCAGCCTGTGTAAAAGACTTTCCACACAAGTCACAGTTGTACGCTTTAACCCCACTGTGGATGATTTTGTGTTTTTTTAAGTTTCCAGCCTGGGTAAAAGACTTTCCACACAAGTCACAGTTGTATGCTTTAACCCCACTGTGGACGATTTTGTGGTTTTTTAAGTTTCCAGCCTGGGTAAAACACTTTCCACACTCATCACAGCTGTAGGTTTTGTCTCCCTTTCTTCTGTGAGGTTTGTCGGCCTCCTGAGAGCATTGTCTTCTTGGTCCATGTTGGTCCTGCAGTGACAGAGATACAAACAGAAGGAGTGAGTGAAATGCAGTCGTGGAACAAACTGAAACTCCCTCCGTCAGTGGAATCAAACATGT